CATACTTATGGACTGCTCTTCCCTCCGACATCTCCAATCACAGATCTACTCCCCTTCATTCAACAGAAATACAAACCCTCTTACATGCGATGAACCTAATATTGCCACCAAAATTCTGAAACTCTTTACCTCTCTTAATTTAAAAATCTAAATTTTCGTTTATACTCCTATATATTTTCAAAATTACCTGTAAAGACGTTAATAGCCTGAGTCGCTGAATGTCTCAAAATTATAATAACTAACTAATGTTTTAGGTAGTTAAAATAAATTTTCTGTAGCGCGTTGAAAAAAAGTGTTCCACTTTGCCCGGCTCTCCCCTAAGCAATTTCGGGGGAAATCTGAGATCTACATGATGGTGACCAAGATTCGAGAATTTTTTCCCCCTCTCGAATCCCGGCCACCATCTTGTAGGTCTCAGGTTTTTACGAATTTTTTTAATTTTTAATTTTTTATTCTTGTTTTCCGCCTCCCTTGTTTTCCCATATTATCATTATCACGGGGGCCATACTGCATAGAATTAGTATCTATGATCAGAGAAAACAGATACGGGGGCAAAAATAGAATATGGTTTCAATTAATCAGCTTGCCGATAGAGAATTTGACATTGCTCTTGGTGGTGAGGTGAGGAGATGGGCTGGAAAGTTCATGGTAAATATGTTAAGACCCCCCTCCCCCCTCCAGAGGGCCCCTTTCCACCAAAATAAGAAACGTCCTTTAAACAACGAGCTCATTTCTTTATGAATCGTCATGAATTTTTTTCTCTTCTTTTTTGCAGCTCATTCTGGATAACAATAGATTGAGATACCTGGATCAGGAATTCCTCGACCAGTGGGACAAACTGGATGTGATAGATCTACGAGGGAATGACTGGAGCTGCGATTGTGAGAATCAGTGGATCGTAACCAGTCTGATTCCGATCATGCGTAAAGCCAATCTCGATACTGCCATGGATATAATGTACGTTATTTTTCATAATTTTTCTTATATCATTTCTGCATGTGTTGATTTTTTTCATGCATCCTGAAAATTACTTTTTTCTACGGGAAACGAAGTCGGGGAAACGGTAAACATGTACGAAAGTAGAGAGGTTTTCGGGTCCTAGCTGTCTAGTGCCTCCCCCCCCCCTCGAAAAATTTGCTCGGACCCTTTAGAAAATGTAAGGGATTTTGTTGGATAAGGTAATGATATTTCTTTCATATTTGAAAGTGCATTTGAATTGATTCATCGGTGTGAACGGTAAATCGCTCCTGTCCCATAGCAGATTTTTCCCCGGGGAGGTAACAAGCAGTGGCGTGACGTACTTTGCGATATATCGATTGATCTGTCATTTAAACTTATGGAAAAGGATCGATCATTAGGGTGTTCGCAACGAACACCTTAATAATCGATTCTTTACCACAGGTTTAAATGGATAAATATCGATTATCGATCTTTAACGCCTCGCCACTGGTAAGCCTCGCGCCTAGCCAAGGTGCTGTTCTTTGTCTCCAGACCCCTCTGTGCCCTGGAAAAATCCTCGTTCCTCCCATTACGGTCAAAATTTTGAGAATAAAATGGAAAAAAGAAGAAAAAAAAAACAGAAATGTATTAAAGGAAAGCAATTATTTTAGCAAAATTAACGAGTAAAAATAAAATCTGACCCAACTGATGATAACGAGTCAAGTATTTTTCACAAAATTTCAACGATCGGTAAATGCAGCCTTCTATTCGGTTTCTTAGCCCTCGAAACTCTTGTTTATCGATCAAATAAAGCCTGTCACGAGAAGACCGCAATAATTTTCAAATAACTTCAGTTTATAGTAAATCATAATATTATTCATTCATGTGCTTACAATATTATAATACGAACGTGCAGAAAGTCGCTATTTGAAAAGTGGAACAAAAAATAAGAATACAAAAAAAGAATACAAAAGCACCTTTTTGAATTCATATAATTGTAATTAATTTTTTCCGAAAACTTTTTTATGGATTTAGGAACTTCTGTCTTACACCGAAAAAAAGTTCAGTTGGTTTACCATTCTGGTTGTAGAAAAAGTGCGTAGAACTTATAAAATACTAAATTACCTGCCACAGCAGTTAGTTTTACATCTTGGCATTCCTAAAGTAACTGCTGCAAAGGGTAATTCAGCGTACTATAAGTTGTCGCACACTTTTTTTACATCCAGAATGTGACATCAACTTCATTTTTTCTTCAGTGATATAAAATACCCGTATTAACACCCGGATTTCGCAAAACATTGCTGTTACAACATCGCGCATTGGTGCAAAAATAGCTACGAGCAGACAGGAACTAAGTAAAATATAAAATCTGATTACGTTTCAAGCATACAAATAGAATGGCATCGTCATGCGCGGCAATTCTTTCTTGGTGGACGAAATACTTTTCTATAGTGAATAACTTAGAAGTTAGGTTCTCAATTTACCATTAGATCACAGGAAAAGTAAAATTAGTTCTTTAAATCGGAATCATTTGGAGAGTGGACATCCTTGAGGACGCTCTGAAGATTTGGTGTCATCTTCAAATTTCGGTCCCGAGAGAAGGTCTCCCATTAATTCCGCTGGATCGTAGTAAATCTCTGCTTCTTCCACTTTCAGAGAACCGTCAACCTGAAATATTGAAGGGAAAGTTATGGTGATGTATTCAATCTAAAAGTTAAAATTCTAATAACTCTAACGCGTGATTATGCGCTTCTTAGATAAGAATGTAAATTTTACAGAATTTGGATAGTAACATCTAAGCCTAAATATAAAATATTTTCATCGGTTTTTTTTGCATTACATCATCAATGAAGCATTGTTTAAATCTCAATTATTTTGTTTACTTGCAACTTTTCATGAACAATCAACTACATACCTATGAATTAAAAACTACATCATAAAAATATATACTGAAAAAGGAAACCAAAAATTAATTTTTCCTTGTTCTAACAAAAAAATTCAAAGATATCTCTGAGAAGAAATCCCGTTTTAGGCGTTCGTACTTTAATTTTCAGTGGTCCTATTTTCATTTTTTCTCCTTTTGTAATTTAGATTTATTTATTGATTGAGCTTAAACTTATAGATGAGGAAAATGAATACCTTGAGGGTTCCTAAACCGTAGAATTCGACCATTTTTTTTGACGGAGCATGTCCTTTGAAAGGACCTTCAAAGAAACCCCAGTGTCTAAATTTAAAAGCGATTTCAGGTGGTCCGCTATAAACTTGGATCACCTCCCATGCAAATCCACGCGGGAAAGCTGATCTGAACGCCTCGTGAGATGATTCAAATGTTTCTTCGTCAGCTTTGTAATACTTCAGTTCCTTCGGCAGAGAGTTCGCAAGCAGCGCATTATAACTTCCAACACGTAGAGTCTCCTCCCCAGACAAGCCCTTTCTTCCTGAGAATGATGAAAGATGCGATTAAATATTGATCATCTATAGAATGTGCATCTATAATAATTTTTCAATGTTTGAGGGATCTCTCTACGTTTGAAGTATCGTATCAACCCTTACTCCCCCCCCCCTTCAAATTCCCTTTATGACACTTGACCATAGGGCGTCGCGCGACAATAGTCGCAAACAGAGGATACAACTATTCGTACTCGAAGGATGTCAATGTTGCATACTTAAAAATTGAAGGCGCTCCGATATTGCTAGCACTCTCCATGATGCGCGAAGTCGCTTAGTGTTGGTGATATTGCTTCAAGCCATGTTTTTAGGTGTTAATAGGTGATGTTTGATAGATTTGGGTCACGGAGGACTTCGTCGTGAATTAAATTGACCATAAGCTCTATGATTGACTGATTTCTATGATTTTACGGGTATTATTAGCCCGATTAAGGTAGGGGGTATCGCTGTCGATAAGATTCTGGCGCTTATGAGTGAGAGATACATATCACTGGACAGTAAAAGCATGAGTCAGCAGTAATAATGGAAAAAAAATGTAATGTTGCTTTATCATTTATAATGTTAAAAAAATGCGCGACAAATGCTTATTTTACGATAAAAAAATGCTACGTTAACTACGTCCACGGTAACAAATTCAATGTTAAGTTACCACTTTTTTATGTAAAATCAGCATTTGAAAATTGTCGCACATTATTTTAACAGTAGAAATGCTAAATCAACATTAATCTTTTCCCGTGTTTTTTGGCACCTTATGCGGTCGCGCGGCTTAAACTAACCTTCTCGTCCTTTCACTTGATGAATTTTTGCTTGAAAATAAAGAAGAAAAAGTATGCATTGATCCAAAGTAATAAGAATAATAAAAACAATTGAGTAATATTAAAAAATGTGCACATCGACGGCGTAAGTCCACAATCACATATCTCGTTTGCGGTGTCTGAAAATCTCTGTCTCTATGTTATTTTTTTAAAGGAGAACAAACTGGCATTATTCTTTGAAGTTTTTGCAGAATTTTCTTCGCACAAAGAAGAAAAATTACGGCAGTTTTAAAGAATTGCCGTTGAGGAGTTTTATGTTTGAAAAATAAAGTATGACAGGAAAACTGCGACATTGCAAACCGAGTTATGCGATTGGCGACTTACACCGTCGACATGTAATCTGATTTTAGAAAAAATAGTTTGCTTACTCAAGCAAATATAGTCCAACTGCCGATACTTCAATAAAAATGACCTAAACTAGTCAAAGCTTGGTCAATTCTAAAACTAAGCACACATAGTGCCACAGCAAATATATAAAGAGGAGTTTAGATGGCTCTTAATCCTCAATTTAAAATTTTACTCACCGTTAACAAAAAGCTTGAACTTCTCCGGATTTATCGTCCTAAAATCTTTCAAGCGAGTTTTATGCGAAAGTTCCATCTCCCATGATTTTATCGCGTTCTGCACTGTCTCTTCAAGTGATCCTTTGGGCCACTCCTGCAAAATGCAACACTGCATATTGTATGAACGTAAAGATCCTGACAGGAGCGAATCAGGAATAAAGAAAAACCGGACATGATATCTGCCGTGCTATCACTGGTAAAAAAAAAAAAAACCTCTTGGACCAATGCCGCGGTGCATTGACTTAAGAGTGCAGTTTCTTGTCGCCGGATTTAAGAGTCTTGAACTCTTGTTTCAAGCGGATTTTGCATTGATTCAATTCAAAATCCGCTTGAAACAAGAGCCCAGACCCTTAAATCCGGCGACAAGAAACTGCACTCTTGAACCAAGAGGTTTTTTTTTTTACCAGTGTAAGGAAAAACGCCGTAAGAACATTCGAGAGTCGCCAAAATTCCTCCGCTATTTTTCAGGGGAAGTCATGAAAAAATTTTCTTCAAATTATTTGGAACTTTCGGTGAGATTGCGACCAAAATAATCTGAAAAATTAGAAGGACAGTATTTGGTAGTTTACCAGGAAAGCCGTCCTTTATCAAAAGAAATTTGGTAACGTCTGATGGAACGTCGTGACTGAAAGTTCATGCGGCGTTTTTCCTTGGCATTGCAAATATCTGGGCGCGCATGTATATGCATACGTATTAATCGAATGCAATTTGAGAATTTCTCAAAAGAAGTAAAAAAATAATAATAATTGTGCCATGTGCTGTGGATTTTTTCACAGACGTGCAGGTATTTTCTTTGAAATGTATAATAAGAATATACAGATACCTACACCGTAAGAGAATTCATGAAGATATTTTTTGAGAAGGACTGATGTTTAGGGAGGTTCAATAATTGCCGAGCTGTAGGAAAACCATGCTCTAAGGATTAGAATTTTTGCCAATATTTTATTTCAACGCTAAAAATTCTTAACACTCATGCACGCCGGTCTTGAAGTTAAAAAAAAAAAAAAAAAAAAAAAAAAAAAAAAAAAAAAAAATGCGACAAAAATTTACCCAAAAACTGTTTGCAAGGGGTGAGTCTATGGTATGTGTGTACTCAACATCGTGAAAAATCAAAATCTTTGCTAATCCTAATTTCGAGAAACCGCGATTTGAAATTTGTATATGCAAGTTTTCTGCTCATTTTGATCCATTTATATTTTCATTATCATCCATATCATTTATTTGTCCATTGAATCGGTGATGACCGATTCACGGTTTTATTTTTTGTTCGATTCATGTCGATTGAATACATGCCTTCTTGTTACTTGCAGACTACCTATCACACTCTTTTTTTTTTTTTTAAACAGAACAATTCGCCTTTTGTTGCGTCTGCAGCAATTTTTGTTACGTGTTTGTTGTGTGTGCTGATTGCAGCCCATTACATACTTCACTCTCTGAAGGCGTTTTATGTTCGAAAGCAATTCGCCTTCAACTGCGCCTGCAGCAAGTGTTGTAACGAATGTGTTGTGCGTGTTCATTACATACTCGACTCTCTGAAGGCGTTTTATGTGCGCAGGAAGAGCACCTTGTTGGAGAACAACGGAAGTCAGATGGAATGATTCTCTCAATACCTACTTCGTAGGTTCTCCGACAGACTGCGCCATTTTAGCACATAAAACGCCTTCAGAGAGTCGAGTATGTAATTACCTGAAATCAGCTCGCACAACATATTTGCAACAACAATTGCTGCGGACGCAGCTGAAGGCGAATTGAAAAAACCGTATAATACACGTTGAAAAACATTTTAGCTTTTTAAAAAATATTGTTGAAGAGTTGTTTTCGAGAGAAATTTTTTCTCTCCCGAGCAACTAGTTCGCGCTAAGGGGAGCAATTTATCCGCTCCTAAGAACTAACGAGTTGCTCAGGAGAGAAAAAATTTCTCTCCTATGCACCATGTAGTTGCCCAGGACAGGAAAAATGTCTCTCCTCTGCAATGAAGAGTTGTTTTCGAGAAAAAAATTGTCTCACCCGAGCAACCACTTTGCGCTCAGGAGAGGAATGTATCCGTTCTTAAGCACTAACTAGTTGCTCAGGAGAGAAAATATTTCTCTCGTTTGCACCGACTCACTTTGAACGCCTTCAGAGAGTCAAGGATGTAACGAGCTGAGATCAGTACGCATAACATATTCGCAACATCAATTGTTGCAGACGCAGCTGAAGGCGAATTGAAAATAATACACGTTGAAAAATATTTTAGCTCTTTAAAAAATATAGTTACAAATTGAGGTTTGTGTTTTATGTTCTCTTCATGAGGAATTCTCGAAAAACTTTTCAACATTAACTGAAACATAAACTATAAGTTTAAATGCATAATAAAATATACCGCGCCAAAAATTTTCATTTAATTCTGAACGGATGTCCCTGTTGCATACAGATGAATATGAAGGCGCTTTATCATCTCGGACTATAGCAGTAATTTGCGAGGCGTATACCGCTGACGCATGTGCTATTTGTTTCCCTGTGCAGATAGGTGCTTTCTAAATGAGTCAGAAATAGCGAAACCTTATCCTTATTTTCACAAGTGGACCATATGATCGCACGACTTTCCGACCACATGACGTCTCTTAAAGGCAATTTTCAAAGTTATTTCTCTCATCTTATTCAAACGAATAGAGTGACGATACCTTGGTGCGACCTTCTTCAAAAAGCTTGTTGACATCGGTGTAGACTGGTGGGCCACCGTGTCTCCAAAGAGTTGTGTCAGCTTCATCATATATGAAGGATCTGTATTTATCTCCGACAAAGCCAGACTCCACCTCCAACTTGGCCATGACAGATTGCTATAATTGTACTAAACATACAAACTAAGCGAGTTAATCTGAAACAATAGGTGGGCACGCACGGTAGACAAAATTAAATATTGATTTGCGGCGATTTGACTCAATTGATAATCTCTTCCCTAGTCAGTGAGATGAACAATTTGGAGCCGAAGGGGAAACATTTATTTTGTATGTTGGGAACTCTGAAAATTCTCAAATTTTCATGTAAGTCCATGATGATAGTATACTAATTGTACTGCCTCTAAGATTGGTTTTTTTAAAGGGTACTTCTTATATTTTGATTTCTTTCCCGGCTATTCAAAGCTTTTAACAGCGGCAAATGTGCGCAATCAGTGGTGTTTCAAAATCGAACAGTGGTAAAAATATTTTTATTTTACATGCCAATAGAGACGTGAGAAGACGTATGACCCAATCAGGCATTAAAGTTTGAAAAATCAGTAAGCATAGTGGCGAATTCATCAAATTGGTAACACTGTTATTCCTGTACTTACATTCATTATAAATAATCGATTTTGAGTGAGGCCGCTTGCCTCGATAAATATCGATTGTTTTACATGGATTGAAATATCTAGAACCAATCCATTGTTACAAAATTGCGAGAGTCGTACTGAGCAAGCAAAAATCATCTGATTTTATGCTATGCACGTACTTAGCTCGATACATTCCTCATATGCATGAGTAATAATCCTGATTCAGCCTCACTGACGGATGGCGCATCGAAGGCGTTATTCTTGATATTTGCTTTTGACAATTATTGTTTAGTTAAACTGATCTACTCAACTCCTTTTCATTCCTTTTTATTTTACCATTTATTCTGGTGATAACAAAGGTAGCTCGCGGCCAAATTGACGTATTCTCTGCTGGAAGCGGAAACATATTTAACACTTGTGAAGGACGTCCAGGACCTTAAGGCACAAGATTTGAATTTTTTTTTGCCACCATGTACCCAAAATATCGAAGAATTTGTGATTTTATATAATTTAGGATTAAGTTTGCCATGTTTTGACTTGATATTTGTTATAATCTCCCTCATTCGATCATTGGGAGGTTCACACCAGTCGTATCTGCGCACTAACCCTCACGAATGTTCGGATTTTAAAACAATTACGGAACAATTTGTAAGAATAAAAAGTAAAGAAACCGCTCCTACAGATTTTCTGCTGCAGACATCTATTTTCATTGCAGCCCCGGTCCTATAGGGAAGAAACATCGACTGAGACTGAGAATGCTTTCATTTTCCTCCAAATGCCGCAATCAGACGCTGAATTTAGCACCTGACGTCAACAGTCATCGCCCAACGGCTGAAATTTAGCAAATTCGACTTATTTTCATCCAGATGTGTATCTAATCTACTCGAATAGTTCAGACAAATTCAAAATTGGTCCGATGGTTGCTGAGAATCGTTGCTGAATTTTGCGCGTCGCGCGCAAAATTCAGGCATCGGGCCGATGACTTCCACATTCAAGCCACATTCAGCTCCCACATTCAGCGTGTGATTGCGGTGTCATCATCTAACATGAATCAAATCGTCGTCCCTTCACGAAGGAACGTAACCAAATTTCAATGTTGCCAAATTCCTCCTCGCAAATTGCATTTTTACCGGGATAATCTTCGGGACTTCTAACTGAAAATTGCACTGATTTTTCCTCTGATCTCATGCAAAAATTGGACGCATTTTGGACCAAAACTGCACAGGTACATCCCTGTAAAAAATTGCATTGTTTCAGTCTATTTTGCAACCTTGGAATGGACTTACGTTCCTATCTCTGGGAACAGCGAAACGAACTAGTTACGTTCCATCGTGCGGGAAACGAAAGCATGACAGAGATACTCTTACAAAAAGTCCAATTTTGTGTCAATTTTCCTGTTTACTCAAGAGTATTCTCTTAATGAATATTGCAAACACACAGCACCATGTCCAAACCACGTTATTCATAATTATCAATTGTTTAATATTGAAACACTGACATCTGAAAAGAAACACTTAACACTTTAAGAGAATTATACTCACTTTGCCACTACAGATGATTTTGGAGCTGCTGCGATTCAGAAACAAAACACGCTACTGGTTGATAACATACATACGTAATCAGCGAGCTCGGACCAGTCCTTCGAACCAGCTGATCTTCATTCGCTGTTGCCTGGTCTCATTCATTATCACACCATTGAGTGTGGTCACTTATTTACAGTGCCTGATATAATCAGCTATGAGGGGCTTGCGGGACAAGGCGCATAAGTGCAGTTTTTAAAAAAATTGATATATACATGAACTCAACTAAAACTTGTTTGAAAGTATGTGAAAAATTCACAACTAAAATCTAACTTTAAAGCATCAAAAAGTTAGTTTAAACTTCCTTGCTGCCATAAGGCTCCATGTAATTTGAAACTTTTAATACGAATTTCTTGAAATAGCAAAAATTGCACTTATGCGCTTTGTCCATCAAGTTCCTCATATAATAAGCTGACAATAAGATTTGTCGCTTCAGAAGCAGAGGTGCAGAATGGAATACCGTTTGGAGTATTATGAAAATTTCCGCTACTGATTGTAAGAAAAGCTCATAAAAATGATGTAGGTACCAATCAGGCTCAAGATTGGCTGAGTGAGAAATCTGTAATAAATAAGTGAACATTTGATAAGAAACTTTGAAGTTTGTACCGTGATAATTTTAAAAAAAAAATTAAAAATCGGGTTTTCACTACTTCTAAGTGTTCTTTTCCTCCGCCTGTCAGTTAATTTCCACGTTTAAAACGTGAAATTCTACATTTATGTATCCAGGTCCGAAATTTACAAAAGAATCCAAATTGTGCACAGCAACGATGTTTTCTTCCACTTGTTCACACCGATACATCGATGTGATTTCATTATTTGCATTGAATATAACTATATTTTTCAATTTATTTTCTCATGAATGCTGTTTTGATGACCCTTCTTTTTCGCTCAGATGCCAAGAACCAGTGGAGATGTTGGGACAGAACATGCGGGAGCTTTCGTCTCTGGACTACCACATGCGATGCCTGGACTACTACAACCACCAACCGGAGAAGGATGCCACTCTCCTCGTCTGGATCGTGATCTTGGTCGTGGCTCTCATCCCGGTTGCCATGGGGCTCGTCCTTTACTACCGTCGCAACTTCGCCACCCGCAACATCCGCTACATCCGAACTTACTACAAACCCACCGAGCAACACCTCTTCACGTGATCATATTAATCAAAGGCTCCGACAGTGGGTCACTAAATCTTTTTATTTAACGTCACTTACCTTCAGCCAAATGTACCTACACGGAAAATTAAATTGCTGATTCAACAATTCAATTGCGTAAAAAAGTGACTGCAATATTTCAACGTAGATTTCAAAACAAAAGATTGCTACTTTAACCACTACTGTAAGCTAATTTAACCACGGGGGTGGTTAAAGAAGCATTTTTTTTTGTTGTTGTTGTAAAATCTACATTGAAACATTGCAGTCACTTATTTTTAGCAATTGAATTGTTAAATCAGCAATTTAATTTTTTCCGTGTATTTTCAATTTAAAAGTTCATCGTTTGGTGACCCGTTGATGTGGAGAATGGTTGAAAAACACACCGACAGCCAAAATTCCCCGTCTTGTTATTTCCTCCAGTAATGTGCGGCCAATAACAAAGCTCTCTACTTCTCTTCCTCATCAAATGTTGGAAATGCATTCGCTTTACACTAAAATTACGTAGCTTTATTCCAAGATTTTAGAGTCTTCCTCCTGCACAGAACCTCATAAAACCACCATGGGAATCAACCCTCTCTGAAAAACCTGTAAAAGTACTTACACCTCTGTACTTACAAACGCACGAATGAGACAAATATACGGTCGATGGGTTGCCCCTGAAAAGGTTATAGGACATTTCGTCAACGATTTTTTGTCCGCGCACCTGTTTTTTCCAGTAATTTACGTCCACGCGTTTTTTCGGCACGGGAGTTTTGGTCCACGTGCCAGTTGAGACCCACAGTTAATTGGCCCACATGTAAATACAAACGACAATTGCTCACGACGTTTTTGGATGAAAATATATAATGTCTTGGAAGAATGAGGGTTTGCTTGTTTTTTTGTTTTGTCCAACGAAGAATAATATATAGCTGAGAGTTTTGGCAAAAATGGGGGAGCGTCAATTCCATAAGACAGAATTCACTAAAAGTCTCTACACCCATTTGGTGTAACAGGACTTGATTATTTTCAAGAAATTCCCACCTTGTTATACCTGAACTGGATAAACCTCTGTATTTGTCTCAGCTAAAGGCTCTTAGATTTTTCCTGTGTATGATAAGTATCTTGATTTATTTTGCGAAGAAAGATCTGTACTTTTAAAGGATATCTGTCATTCTTAATACGTTCAATTTCGTATGATACTGTGCAACACCTCTGTTGTGAAATAGTTGCTTCAGCCGCCACCGCACGGCGGGCGGGCGGCCAACGCGAAACGCGCATTGGAGCCTGCAAACCTAAGTGGATACTTCAAGCATTGCGCAATGCGTGAGGTATCCACTTAGGTTTGCAGGCGCCAGTGAGTCTCTCGCGCTGGCAGCACGCCGCTCCGTTCTGTTTGGCTTTAATATTTATACTCGCGTAGTCAGCGTTTTTTAACCCATGATTATGAAATGTTAGCACACTCTGCATTGATCATTCTCATTTAAATTGATGGGAAAAAATAGGTATCGATTTATCAAACGAGAATAATAATATAATGTGTGTTTTTTAAATATTGGTGGTTCCGTGTCAAATTTAATGATTTCCGAAGCACTTTAATTTTTTCTTTTACATTTTGTGCTTATATTGTGCTGCAGGTGTACGCAAAACGAAACGCTCAAAATTTGACGTATTTCACTCTAAAAGATCGATGTAAAAATGAGTTAAAACTAAAGATTGCGTCCCTCTTGGTTTTTCCCCCCTCTTTTATTCATTTTTGCAGTTTCTGTCGGCACAACCACGGCTCATTGAGATTAATGTCGCTTGGAAAAGATTTTACAAATATTTGTCACGTTTTAAAAATATAAATGTTTTCTAAATGAAGTAATAATTTCGTGAAGAAAAAATAAAAAAAATAAAAAAAGTACCAATACGTATATAAGGTATATTGTACATTCAATATTTTAAGGATAGAAATAAAACCAAATATTCACCAATGACAATTTAAGAAGATGATTCAAAAGGAGAAAGTAATAACATTTCAGTTAGAAAATGAGCAACCTTAACGACACCTCTTTCTCTCTCAATTTCCATATTGTCAATATAATTTTACATACCGACTAAAATATAACGCTTGGACCAAGTCACTGTTGCTTATTTTACGTGTGGGCGTAAACTACTGAACAAAAAAGGTGCGCGGCCAAAAAATCGTTGACAAAATGTCCCGAAACCCCTGGAAGCTACCCAATCATACGCACTCTGCGAATATCTGTGTTGCATATCCAAAAAAGTGAAGAAGCACTAATATTTAGCATATTCATCTTAAATGTATCAATGGTTTGCCGCGGCAAACAGTCATGAAGGTGCTGATTACTCTAGATGGGCAAATCAGTCAACGGTTTTCTTCGCCCCCATCCTTCTGTCCCAATGAGTCATCTCTGTTGTACCGCTAAGTAAATCAATAAGTTGTCTTACTGTCATTGAAAAAGAAGCAATCGTAAGAATTTGTTTGTTTTGAATTCAAGATACATCATAATACTGTTAATGGACCGCGAACTTATTCCTTAACAATTGTTTGTAAATGCACGGTGAAGCCATAAGCATCTTAAGTTTAAAGTATTGAAGAGGAATTGGTGGAATTTTAAGTTGAGGAATTTAACGGATTTCAATTATTGGACAAGAAGGTGTTTGCATTAGTGATATCATCAAGAAATTGTTTCAATTATGAACCCCTCCCCCTACCCAGTCAAATTCATTATATAATTTCTTGCCAAGTGCTCTAGATAAAAGAGAAACGTTTGCATATATCGAAACACTAGAGCATATTTTAAGTATTCCTTTGTAAAATTTCTAGTCAAGAAACCGTCCTACTTTAGTCCTCGCTCTTTCCTCCTAAGTTGCAACACATTCACTTAAATTTGAGCAAATAGAGAGAGGTTCAACTTACACAATAAGATGTAAATTTTTATTTTGATATTTTTTTCCAGAGGAAAATTTTCCTGTAATTATAGTCATTTGATTATCGATTCGAGTCACTTAGAAAGGAACCAGAGCATACTGGAAAGAAACTTGAACTGATTCAAATGTTGTAGATTGAATTACAATCTACTCCTGTTGCCCTCGACACGATGAAATTTTGGGAAAATAATTATAAAAAAAAATGTTGGTTGGCCCTATTCTGTTCAGCTTGGGCCATTTCTACTTGGAGAGCCTTTATTTGCACTATGTTTCAGGACAACAACAAAAATATCTTGACTTTAAAATAGTACATGCACTTAAGTGAACTCGTGTTTATGGTACCTGTAGTACCATACATTCCGTTTTATTTTCCTGACTTTCGTACTCTTACTTCTGATCAAAATTGTTCATTTCTAGGAAAGGTAAAATATAAATTCTCCTTTTTTTAAGTACAAAGTTAGTTTTAGAATTTTTACAGTAAATACCATTATTATTTTGCAATTTGAGTAATTTTTTTACAACGTATATGTCTATCCATGACCAAAGTGCAAAACCACGTATCTCCGTTCGATGTTGCAGACTTTCTGTCATTCTTCATGGTTTACTTGAAAAACTAGTCATCGTAATTCATCGAAAACTTCCATGATTTTTTCTCGTTGTTAACAGATGACTCCGTATACATCTCAAATAATCAAGTTGTTTGTGTGAATTGTTACTCTGCAGAAAAACAAATTAGGAGCAGAGATTTTGAAACTCCACAATGGATATGCGTGGTTCCGTTCTCTTGCCATCGATATTCCGTTTGCTAGGTTTTCTTATAAAGAGAAAAAAAATCACGGACATTTTTAAAAAATGACTTTCAGTAGTTTTCTAAGCAAAAAATAAGTATGGCAGGAAGTCTGCAAGGCCGCAAACGCAGATACGCATCTCTGAAGTTTCACCACCGATATGGCACCACGAGTTAAGACAAGTCAAGTGTATCTACTGTTGCCTCTCGTGAAATTACAGGCGTCTCAGATTGTTACCGTTGCCGGTGCTTGCGAGTGGGACTTGAGAGCATCGTAGGATTGCTGAGTCGACGTATCATTTATGGTATCCACTGAATTTGAAGGCACTATTAGGAGTTTGAGGAAACAACATGCATCAACTTTTTCCCCGTTTCAACTTGAGATAATGGGAACTTATCTCCCTATCTCTGTAATTATGCGGCACATTTCAAACACTAGAAAATGTCTTCAGCATGACTTACATAGTACTTTGATACAGTGGCGAGGCGTGAATGATCGAGTATCGATATTTCCCTATGTGAAGCTGTAGTACAGAATCGATTAATAAGGTGTTTATTGCGAACACCCTGTCTATGGATCCTTTTCCATATGTTTCAATGGCAAATTAATCGATATATCGCAAATCACGCGCACGTTGTAAATCTATAATTTTCACCTCCACATCTAACCTTCAAAAATAAATCGCGAAAGAAAAACAAGTATTCCATTATGCGTATTATTTTTTTGTTTCTCGTGTTGTATGCATTTTAATTTTAGTTCAACTTTTATAATATTCATTTTGCCTCAGGTCCAATAATCGCAGGCGATCTCGTAAGTGAAATGCAGTATGCAAATTGATGCACCCCGTTGCTTACATCTTTCACCTTGGCAACTTTTCAAGTATGATTTATCTTGTCAAAATTTGCTCATTTGAAGAGAAAAATTAAAACAATGTTCTGAGAGGGAATTCCTAGGGAATTCAGAGTTCGTGGCATGTATACAGGATCTCAAAGGTTAAAAACCCAGACAACAGGGGCGTATTATACGAGTCAAAATGAAACGTTTTTCTTGTATACATTTTTTTCAAACACGCCGCTTGTTTGACCTGTTATCCCTTCAAATTGTGTGAGGCCCGATGAAACTTCCTGAAATCCTTATTCAACTTAAGATTTAGGTACATGGGAAGCCCGGGATGCAATCAACGCTGAAGATTAATGGAGGAAAGAGTTAGCCATTTCTCATGAGTTTTAGTCCATAGCCGTCGCTGACGTTTAAAAAAAACTATGATTTCCACAAGCATTTCACTGGAGAAAAAACACATTGGATCTATAGTCCAGACTCTTAAAAACATCGGCAAGAAAAAGCACTCTTAATTCAAACGGATTTTTGCTTAAAT